GAAGTGGCCGCTGCCCTTAGTAACCATTGAAAGTTATTCCGTCTGATACTGGAAACTGGCAGCAAGAGACCTGGTGTTAGTGAAACAATACATGACAAAAGTGGACAGATTATCCACAACTTGTAAAAACGGTTGGAGCGTTAAACTGATCATTTTGCAAAGCAATTTACTCGGCCGGAATTGTTTCATTTCTCGCCGGCCACTCATCGCTCTGCCGCTGGGTTGTCCCTTTGAATCAGCCCTCTCCATCAGAAGTCAAACGTGAGATCGGACTGCTGAAGTTGAACAACGTTGCGGGACCAGATTATCTTAATCCAGCCCTTTTCACATTCCGGGGGCCCTGCTCTTGTTGATGATTTACACGAATTACTGGGTGAAAACTGTGGGAGCAAGAAATCGCTCCAACCGACTGGATCCCCTCCGTTACAACTCCGATCTTCAAAGGACGCTCGCGTTAGGTATGCAGCAACCATAGAGGAATCAGTCTGATCCCCATCGCCTCCAAATTACTTGCCCCTGGAATGCTTCACACATTGACTGGCGCTCGTTAAAGCCACATTGGTGAGGACCAAGCCGCGTCTCATCAGGGTCGTGGCTGTATGGACCACATCTTCACCTTGCACCAGTGGTTGGAGCACTGTCACACATATCGGCGGCTCACCGTAGTGGTGTTCCTCGAAATCAAAGGTACCTCCGATTCAGTTGATCGATATGCCCTTTGGAACTGTCTACTAAGGAAAGGTGTGCCTGAGAAATATGCACATATTATCCGCGCACTATACACGCGTGGCACGAGCAGAGCTAGGGCTTACGGCAAGCTGTCGCCCCTCTTCAGTATCTCCAATGGTGTAAGGCAAGGATGCCCATCGTCACCATTCCCTTCAACTTCGCTATTGACGAAGCCATGGAAATCGCGTTCACAGGACACGGCTTAGAAGGTGTGGATCTGCTCCTAGGATAACGACTTCTTGACGTCGAGTATTCGAACAACATTGCCCTCATCTGAGACAGCTCACAAACGTGCCAAGCTGCACTGGAGAGGTTATCCCTGGCAGTCATCCGCTTCGGGCTTTGCATTGCACCATCGAAGTGCAAAGCTTTCCTCCAAGATTGCCAGGTATCGCCTCCTGCACTGACCCTTGGTAGGAATCAGCTAGAAGTTGTTCAGAAATGCAACTACCGAGGAAGTTGTGTTAGCGCCCGTGGGATCGAACCTAAGATCATGAAACGTATAGCAAAATCCCGAGATGCTTATGCTAACCTTCGCCACCTATGGCGCCGGCACATCACTCTCGCCTTGAAGGGTAGAGTGTACAATGCAGCGGTACGTTCGACCCTACTGTACGGCTGCGAAACCTGGCCCTTGAGATCAGCGGACATAAAGAGGCTAATTACGTTGGACCACCGGTGCCTTCGCACTTTGGCTCACATCTGGTGAGAACACCGCGTGAGCAACGAGCATCTTTGACGGCCTGTTTACGGCACAGAAAAAGGAAATGAACCGCTCAGTACCATCATTACACGCACCAGGCTCCGATGGCTCGGCCAAGTGTTACGCATGCCGGCCCGCCGGCCCACCGGCTCCCGCGACGTGCGTTGTTTGCTCGCCGGGGGTGTGCATGGAAGAAGAGGAGAGGTGGCAAGCGATGTCTTGGTCGAGAAGAACGAAAGCTCTCACTTTGAAGCTGACTTCGGTTGGAGCGGCAGGGCTTCCTGGTTGGGTTCGTACAGACGATGAACACGTTCGGCTAAATACATTTGCTGACATGGCTAGGAACTAGGCTATGTGGCGTTCTTGCTGTGACTTTCTTTGTCCCTCCCCAGCCCTTTTAGCCTCCCTCTCCAACCACGATCTCATTTTGTAGCATAATATAATGTCACATAATAATTTTTTACTACCTAGTAGCTATTTGGTAGCTTTCCAGAACGAGGCCTATCCGGTGTTGGTAGCTCAGCTGGCACGCAACGGTTGCAGTAATTTTATTTTTGTTTCTTTTATGTATTGCGGCATAGTAGCTGAGGTGTTTTACACCTCTAGCTAACGTGATAATTATGATGAATGATCACCTGTCATCTTGTGGAACAACGATCGTTCACACACACACACACACACACACACGATTCACGCGACTAGCGTAACCAACTCAGTCTTCGTCGTCTCTTTTGGTCAACGTCAAGCCCCCGTGTCGGACAAAAATTGCCACTGTCTCGACAAATGCTAAAGCTGCAACGAATCATGAGCAATGCTGTTCTTCAGCAAAGCAATTACTTCCATTTCATTACCATGAATTAAGACCACAAAACAATTCAGGGTTAAGAGTTATTTCCAGTAAGCTCTCTGCAGACTCAAGGGTTTACCTTACGCTGATTGTGTGAGGAAAGCGTCAAATCCGGCTTGGGTTGATTTCTAAGCTGTTTGACTTAAGACGGCTACAGATGGCAAGCAAAGTGCATTCAAGAAACATTAATACTAATTTCGGAATGCATGCGTCACCAGATCTTTGGCGTCTGGCCGTCAGTCAATGTGAGTGAGTTCCGTTCCATTGGTTTGCCATATTCCGCAGTCGTTCGTTTCCGTGTTCGACTTTGCCAAAAACCCTGGACACCGGCTTGAATTCGCTGGCTAATCAATTCGCGCTCATCGGCAAGCTGACGCGCACTGTAGCCACCGTGTGGGATTGCGGCTTTGTGCGTGGGCATTGACTCCAATTCGGTCTCTATTAACCTCCCGCTCAACCCAACCAGCTAGGTGGTGCAGACCAAACCTACAATCTTGATGTTTAACAGCTAATTCTCACCCCAATAGAGGACCTAGACGCACTCTAACGATGCAATTTAGAGCCCACCGGGAACACAAACAGGGGATACCGAAACTGATTGCGCATGCTCTGGGCGCAACCTTCGCATATGGTCCGAAGTGGTTGCTACTGGTCTCTTATTTATCATCATAAGACCAATGGCTCGTCTGCTTAGTGTCCGATGGCCCAAGGACATGCGCAGATCGAGAGAATCACAAGTGTCGCTAACAGGCTTACACTTAGTTTACAGCGTTTACTATACGAAGAAGGGTGCGTGCGACAGACTGGGATTGTGTACTCTGTCCTATCGTCGGGTGCTGGTCCAATGTGACTTCCCCGTGTTCGGATCGCTGTTACACGTGCGAAATGTAGTGTGAACCTGTGTTGCTGAATATGTAGCGAGTTCCCTACCCCCGTGCTTTGAACGGTGTGTAATCAATGCTGGAAAAAGTCTGCAGGAGCATGTAGTGGAAGCAATCTCGGCGCAACAACTCATAACATTGTTGGATATAGATTTCTTCACTGCTAGATTCAAAAAACCACAATGCAGTGATTGCATATACTTGCGAGTGCTTAGTCACTCCGTTATACATGCTTTACGATAGCACGTAGATACTTGAAAAACGATCAGAATCTTGATAGGTCTTGAAGTCTGTTTTATTGGTTTAAGGTTTTTCATCCTAGGCACATAGATATTGGGTGATGCCCATCCGAAAACACTATACTATCCTGTTTCGATGGAGCTGATGAGGTTTGAAGCTCTGTTTCAATGACAGAGCATTTAGTATTCACTCCAACTGATACAAGCAGTCTTCCAAGATTGGGGACTTAGCATAGGCCACATTAGAGACCCTACAAGATGCGAAGTTAATAGTGCCCACGCACAGTCTGCTGCAGCCAGTTGTGAAGTCTTCATTTGCCAACTGCATTTCATCTCAAACCCACTGCCTTAAGCTTGTGTGCGTTTGCTTCGGTATACTCTTGCATTCGCGGAGACGGATCAGAAATGAAAACCGAACTGAACTGTGAACGGTACTCTCTCGCTTAAACAGTGCCGTGCTACCCGCTTCTATTCGTGGTGGATCTGTTCATGAGTGATGGAAAATACTTCGGTCACTATCCGTATAGACATACATGACAGTTTAAGTGGCTCAAGGAGGCTCCTAAGGCACTCATGATTTATGTGAAAATATTCGTGTGCAACAAGTAATTGGCCAGCGAGTTACGTAATAAATGCATAATTAATTCGTGTATGAGCAGTTGAAGTTTAACGATCTCAGTAACAGTTGTTGTGGGTAATTCTGGTTAGACAACTATCAACATGCAGAAATGTGCTCGACAGTGATTTTGCATGCGTCCGGATTAAACAGTACTGCGCATTCTCTCGATGAAACAAGGGGCTCCATAATCTGATCTAAGTTACTGATAGAGTCAAACTACACGAATAAGAGGGTGGCGGCAGCTGAAATGATAAATTAGACAGTTCTGGTGTAGCGTGCACATCTTCCCACCGACTACATGTCCGCGCCATGAAGAGGACAAGCTAGCCAGAATTCTATACTTCAACAAACCTCTAGCACACATGGCATTAATATGAGTAGTGTGATCAGAGCAGTGCTAACAAGCAGCATGGGAATTTGATAGCTTAAAAGAAAGCTGAACATCGTCGTACCCAATGAGAAAGCTTACAGCATCAAAAAGGGCGATGAATAGCACTTGAGTCCTTTCGAGACCAGTCAGCGGTGCTTAGGATCTCGATTCAGTGGAGTCAAACGCCTGACCAACTAACTGCAGGCAGACTAAAGACCGGTCAAAACACCAAGGCAGAGTGAACAAAACTGCCATGATGAAAAATAGTCGTAATAACAATCGAAGGTTTGTCTAATGGGGGTACAGAAAAGGCACAATGCGGGTGCATCTCGAAAGGGCGAGACAGTTGTCTGGTGATTTCACTGAACAGGTGTTAGCCGTCTATTTAAATACGATCGCGGCGAATATCGAAACAAATGACCCGAGTTACCACCTTACGGTGCTTCCTGATGAGCAGATATCGCCTAGACTAGCACTTATAAGATTGTCCGAGTAATTATTGGCTCAATGCATTAGGGAGTTGTGACATCGTGAAAATGTAGGACGACGGAAGTAAAGAACAGTTTCAACCGAAATAACAATCCAAACGTATAGATGTGACCCACAGCTTACCTTATTGTCGACCAGAAAGCCAGCGAACAATGACACGACAGCCAATCCAAAATTTTGGACAGACTGAATCAGACCGTAGGCAGTGCCCTGTTTGTAAACCGGCAACAGATAGGCAACCATTGACCAAAGACAGGTAGCCAGTATAGAGTAGGCCAAACCCATGAGAATCATGATGACTATTGGGGGCATAGTGTGGTCGGCGAACGCAAAACACAAATGGCACAGCAGAGTGAGCAGCACACTAAACAAGAGCCAGTGTAAACTGCATCCGGTGAAACTGATTACGGCGCCAAACAGGGGACCGGTAACAGCGGACACGATGTAGACCATACTGTTGACAACGGAAGCGTCTTCAACAGATAGATAAAATCTACCTGGAACGGTACACGGAGGGTCAAAATGAAATCAGTGAAGTTGATGTCCCGCGAGATCATAAGCTGATGAGTATACCGGCCAGTCTTTCGAGTTCGACTAGGCTGAATAATTACAAGGCTAGCAGCGAAGTACGGGAGCTAACTTCAGTGGCTAATGTCGTCAAGATATCGAAAATGAGAGCGCGACGAGTGTAAAAATAGCAACAAACCAATTGGAGGAGTCCGAAACATTTCTGAATCGTCAGGGAAGTGTTAGCGGGTAAAAATAACCAGAAGTTCACCGGCAAGTCTTGCCAACACTTCACTGTTGCTGCAAATGGGCTAGGATACTGTCACGGAGTCCAAACATAGGCGGCACAAGCGAAGACTCGATCTTAGGGCACCTAAGTCAATATACTGTGTATCTCCAAACACAAGAATGCTACTTGGTTCGCCTAACTATTGCGCAGACTGCCAACATTATAGACGTAACCTGTACCATGAGACATACAAAGTACCCGAGCTTTAATGAAGTCAATCATCTGCAGCTCGAAGTCGTGCGGCGGCCGAAAGAATTGCCCGCCTGGCTTGCAGTCTTTAGGTCACCGGATCAAATCCACGTAGGGGCCAGTGTCCGCGTGGTATACTCAGCACACGCGCGACCTGTGGTGGCGCGTGCGGACGTGCTACTGACGACTTTGTTCTTTTCAGGCAGCTCTACTGGAGTACTGGTGTACGTCCGCAGCAGCTCCCAAGTCAGATACTCTTCCTAACAGCGTTTAAAACATATTTTACACATAGCTGCTGTTAGTAGACGCCGTGAATCTTGGGGTCAATGCTCTCCTCTGCAACATTCCTAATTTGTATGAATTGCGTCATATCATACTTAGCCTATAAGTCATGACGGTTAGCCACCGTCTCCTATGGCTCAGTGACATAACGTATTGGTTATCGATCCAGATGGATCCAAAAAATGCTCAATACCGACGAGTCCCAACTGGGCGAAACGGAAGCATAGTGCCTTTCCGGGAGTAGGGAGAGCTATCTGACAAGGGAGTTGCTGCGAAGAAGCCGCAATTGACTGCAATTCGGTCTTTTGATCGGTTATCTTCTATCCTCATGTTGTGTTGGTGTTGTTGTGAAATGGCACACGACCATGGGGATTAGAGTGGAACAAGGAAAGACAAGTGATGGTTGGTTACGCGGAAAACATGGCCAATGCACGAGAGGTACCAGTTTTTGTTGCATCTCAAACACTGCAACACAGCAGGACACATTCAGTGGCTAAATCAACCTCGTAACAAACAGTGGACAGAAGCATGCGTCTGTCGACTGTATTTGGCACTCAGTGGCTGCGAGTGTTGCATGGACGTCGGCTGCTTCTAATCCGATGAGAAGGATGAATCTGTTGTAGTTCAGTACATTTAAACAACTATATGATCCGTGCATCAAGGTGCGGTGGATCCAGTTGTCACGATTCACGTCGCCAGACTAACAATAAATAATGAGGTTAAGAAAACGAGGTCAAGTGCAAATAGATTACAAAGAATTGGAATCAAGAAAGAAGCGCACAAAATTAGCCGGGATGGAACGAAAATTAACAACTAGATGCAAAAAAAACCGAATATAAGAGAACCAATGACTGCGCGACTGCGCTCTATATCCGACAGAGTCTGTAACCAGTGAGGTCACCTTCTATGAAGACGGCTTTCAACAGCCCGACCAAATATCTCAATCAATTTCTACATGCTTTTATGCCATGTTATCTACTGGCCACTCCGCGGGTTCGTTCAATTTGGTGCAGCCACGGCGTATGATGCACACCGAAGAAGACAGCCAACGGGTATAGAGAGGAAGTGACCAGGCAAAAACGCAAGCAGCTAAGCTTGGTACGGAATGTCCTGGAAGTTAAAGCGGATATACACTGTGCGAAGCAATAGGAGTTCTCGCAGTACTTCGATCGAGATCGACCGACCCGTACAGAATCAAGAACTGTTCAACTTGTGGACGACCGCGATGGAGACAACTTGTCCGAGGATATAAAAGTGAAATAGGTGAGTTCCGGCGTGTGTACCTATTTCGTTGTACTAATCAGGACACGATCGGTTGAATCGTGTCCCTCATATTAATTCTATATCCGAGTAGCGCCTTAGCTAACACCCACATTTGGTTCCATCCCTATCCTGTAATTTCGGGTTTTTTCTTCTGACTTTTTAGATCTGAACTTCGAGGTTAGCTTTGCCATCTGATTTCTTTCTTTAGGATGCCGAAAAACCATCTGTCCCTCGGAAAACAACTGAAAACATGCCAGTAACCAGTCGTAAGCTCAGTACTAGGAAGCTCGGTATTCCAAAATATTTAGATTAGCCTGAGCAAAATGCAAAGTTGGTTGCAGGAGACCGCATGGAAATAGCAGCATCCCGTTAACGAGAGCTGCCAAATTTGAGAGCACCGCTCCAATGCCTAACCTGACACCCGAAATTGTCACCAAAAACCACAATCTAGAAATTGAGATAATTGTATTAAAAGAAAAGCCCAAAGACCTCAGTCAGATGCTGGATGAACTGACATCAATAGCATGTGAAGTGAATGCGCCAGATAAACCGAATGGAATTCATTTGGAAGCAGCGGCACCGATCTTTTCGTCGCTCACCACGGAAATTCGGGCTAGAAATACTGTCATCTTTAATATACCAAACTACATCTGGAAGCTGTGAAGGGTGTCTTGCTCAATGCATGCAGCATAAGTGGAACGAACTTTTAACGTATATAAGCAAACACTAAGTACACGTGTCCAATCCTATTAAAGTGTACAGGAGAAATATTCAACAAATACACAATAGAAAGGGTTTGCTTGATACCAACACTGATTTCATACGTATCGTGACCAGACTTGATCAAATGTCTCTTCAGAGAGAAATAAGGGTAAAGCAGGTCCAACCGATGACAAGGCTACTCCTCCTGTAATACTGTTAGTCACTAAACAGATGTCGAAGCAAATGACCAACCTACTGTGGAGTTAAACTCGTCCCAGCGCAAGTGTGTTTCACAAATATAAAGTTACGATTGTTTTACGAATTCGACCTTGAATTTGGCTTTAGAGAAGTCTTGTAAATCTGACAAACACAACTAAACTAGACACTGTAATAGAAGACGTTAACGACTCAGCAGTCGCAGGAAGCAGCGAAGTAGCTACTAATACTCAGACTGCAGCTAAGGTGCCTCTCACTGATTACGGGAAAGATAACACTGTAGATCAATGTAGGACCCCATAATCAAAAAATCGAGTCCGAACAACAATGTAAACTTAGAGCAACCTAAAACCAAAACAAAGCTACAGAGTCAGTTAAGTGTAACGTTGCGTTTTACTAGAGCGGTTATGTAACTGTTGGAAACTGGACCAGTAATCCTGTGCAACTGAGCTGTCTTACAAGGAATACTCAATTTATTGTTTCTCTTTTCCTATATATTGCAGCATAGTAGCTGAGGTATTTTCCACCTCTAGCTAAGGTTTATAAGGATGATAATGACTTAATATACCAGTTGCAAAAATATTTCCTCTAACGTCAGACATCAACCTTCGATTACCCGTCGCAACGAGACTGGACCATACCGTGGTACGACGGTTTGCGTACTTTCTTGAACCATTGAGCTATACTGGGTGATATCGCCGGGCACCTTGAAAGTTGCTCCTACCAAGTTGGCCACTAGTGAGAAGTCAGATAAACTCAGTCTCCGGGTCCTCCAGGTTGCGGTTTTGAAATGGGATGGCGTCCATTCTTGTAAAACCAAATCATTGCCACTTCCCCGCTGCCTTGCAGACAGGCTTTTGAGCCAAAGGCTTTGGATGAGGACCCTAATCCTCCTCCTGTCTAGGTCTGGGCGCCCTGGCAGTATCTCAGCCCACATACAACCATGACATTTGCTTCAAACATAAACTTCATCCTGCATCGGCCGTCGCGCAGATTATCAAGGGTCGCCTTATCTGCTGCATACAGCAGGGCGGATAAGCGAAAACATGCTACTGCTGGCGCCTCCCTTCTTTCTTTTCCATCTGTTTCTCTTACTCCTATCCCGACCCCCATTAGTAACCTTTCTTTTATAATTCCAAGCCTAATTGACAGCAACCGAAGTTCCACTGGAGTAGAACCATCTGCAGCCCCCATCCCACAACACCAATCGGCATAAGTTCCTTATAAGACCAAGCTGTCCCGTGTCCATGGTGACGTTCAACGTTCGCACTCTAAGACAAAAAGGTCAAGAAGCTGCACTCGCACGCACCTTGGACACACTGGGTTTTGATGTGCGACGTGTGTCCGAAACTAGGGTCAATGAGCCTAATGAGGTTGTCGAATTAACTGCATCCGGCTTATCCTCTCAGTATTGATTGCACGTATCCGGAGACGCCGATGCAGCACTCACGGGTCAAGCTGGTGTAGGTATCATTCCAAGCTTTAAGGCTTAGTCATCGTTGGTTGATTGGATTCCAGTGAACAGCCGTTCACGTGCAGCTCGTTTGACGACATCAGCCAAAGTTGATTCACGAAGTAGTCCAAAACAATGTTTGTTTGTGATTTCCGCTTATGCTCCCACCGACTGCAGTTCTAACACTGTCAAGGACACATCCTATCACGAACTGAAGGCGTTAGTACGCAGTGTTACTAGTTCAGACATTATTGTACTTGCAGGGATAAGAACACACAAGTAGGACGTCTGAGCTCTTCGGAAGCTCAGCTGGGTGGAAATTATGGGCTTAATTAAGAACGGACTGACAACGTTGAGCGTCTGCTGCAACTGTGTGCGGGGTACCAGTTGTTTCTTAGTAGCACTGCTTCTGGACACAGTGGGCTGCGAAATGCCACTTGGCGTCCTACTGTAGCTTACCAGCGATGGACCCAAATTGACCACATAGCCATAAGTTACAGGTGGCGTGGTTCCATGCTGGATTGCCGCTCGTACTGGATTACCTGCATCGACTCTGATCATGTCTTGCTACACTGTCGTTTCTCCATGAACCTTAT